GTGCAAGGTGTACCGCGAGTACTTCGTACAGGATGGGGACGGGCCTAACTGCGGAGAGGTCGAAGCGGGGCCATACGGCGAGAACATCGATGCGGCCTGCTCAGTCGGTGGAAACTTTCACACTAGTGAACATGCGTCAGGCGGAAACTGTTAGCATACACCCAATATTCATGGAGGCCGGAGACGTGCACCGCCACTGTTTTGTCATACCTCTTCACCCTGCTCCCAAGGCCCTCATCTCGTATGGTGAGGACTGCAATTCGAATGAAGATGTTAAAGGAACGGAGAAAGGGCAGGAAATTTGATTGGTGCGTCGACAGGTCTTACCATCACAGTAATAGCGCACGTAGGTTGATTTTCTTTCTTTCATTTTCTCTGTACGTTTCACGCCGCAGGCCCGAAACATAGTAAATGTCAGCTGTGGTGGCGCCGCGTGCGATGACGTGACCGACACCTCCGAGATCAGCGGCCGGGTGCTACTTCGACTGGACGACGGCATTTGACGGAGTCTACACAATGGGTAGAACCCATACCCAGCTCCGGCGCGGGGCGCGACTAGACATCAATGCATCAGCATCATCTCCGGTCACCCATCCAGTTTGCCTGTTGTGTCAGCGCGATCCCGTCTGAAACGTCGCTTCAGGACTCGAAACCGCACCCCTTATGATCAGGCTGTCTTCCACGCACCGCAGAATCATCATGGCGCGCAAGTGCTCGCTGGACAGGCCTGTGATGTATATAAGCTTGCCCAACCGCCGTAGCCAAACTCACATTTCTTGCCTTTCTTGGCTCGACGACATCACAACTCTTTGGACTCTACGTCGCTCACACGGCCATGCACTTCATCGTCTCCTTTGTCTTGGCTCTCGCCGCCACGACTGTTGTCTCGCTGCCGTCCCTCAAGGGCCGCCGGGAGGACCGCATTGCTCGTCGTGCCAGCGGGCCGCACATGTTGACCCGCCAGGCAGACAACAGTTCTCAATCCGAGTTCCCCTCTACCCAGGCTGGCGCCGTCTTTAATGTGACTGCGGTGAGTCTCTTATGCCTCTGTGATGCGTGTGCTGACAGGCTTGACTTCCGCATAGAACGAGATCACGAGCGCCACCGGGTCGTTCGCGGTTTCGCCGCTTAATGCGGTCGGGGACGGGGACGTCTTCTCCTTAGGCACCATGGTCGGCCTTGATATGGAGAACTGCCCGACCGGCGGCGTCGCGGGTGGTATTGTGTCCACCATCGAGCATGGTACAGAGACCTTTAGTGGTCAGTCCGCGCTCCTTGCCCTCCTCGTCGCATGCTGATAAACCATCTATATCCTCGCAGCCTTTTTCGCAACTTTCCCTGGCAACTCCGTCACCATGATGGGCCTTAGCCCCTCGGCGGGCGATGTCGTCACGATAAGCGTCACCGCGACGACCGCGACGTCAGCCACGGTGGTCATTACCAACGAGAGCACGAACCAGACGGTCTCCCAGGTCGTCACTACCGGCAATCTGTGCATGGAGGAGGCAGACTGGCTCGTAGAGGACTTCGAAGTGGACGGGTCCCTAATCACCTTAGCCGACTTTGACGAGATCAAGTTCACTGATGTATCTGCCGGGACCGCCAGGGGTTCTCTCGACATCTCTGGCGCGACCATTTTGAACATAGAGCAGAACGGCACTGTTCTTACTGCCGTCTCGTCCTCACGCTCGACCGTCGATATCGTCTACGTCTAATGCGGCAGAAAGGATGTAAGACTGGTATTTATTTAACACTGCTTGTATGACTGGTTTGTATATCCCGCGTGTAGTCAGAAGGACCGATAGTTATTTAACACTGCTTGTATTGCTGGATGAAACACGCAAGAACTCTGAACACCTCCGACGGCGAACAGTGCTGCACACAACACTCCAGAGACATTGGGCGTGCGAGCCGCCTTGACGGGAAGACTGGGGGTTCGACATGATTCATCGCTTCAAGGCTCCGAAACCTCGCCGGCCCTTTCAGCCAGTGCCAACTCGTCATTAAGGTAAGGCTGATGCGCTGGCATGCACTCAGACCCTGGGGGACCAATCTAAGATAATGGGAATAAAACAGAATAAAATGATGGAGGCGGTGAGAGAGATCCGAGAGTACGCGAGAGCTCGGGAAGTAGTCGCGAGGTGGCTTGGGGGACCGGCGAGAGCGCCGCACGCTGTGCGGAACGTCGAGAGGGGGACACAGAAATTCAGAATATCGTATAAACACCGTGGGGATCTCGTCGCGTATGTTGTCCTTTTCTCGTGTACGCTACTACATGCACTGTTATACAGCTCAGTAAAAGGTACTAGAAAAGCAGGAAAAACAGTAAAATATATAAATGTGTCATGTACATGTAACAGGCAGGAGTCAGGGGGTTTGGGCTAGTGTCGGAGACTTTGTGGCGGTGTGGCGTTGCTGGGCGGTGCGAACGGGCGCCTATTGCACGCGTAGAGCGCCGCGGGGCGCGTCGAAATCCAAAGCCGCTTCAGGCAACAAAAGGGTTCGATGGGGCGAGACGTCTGTGAAACGCGCGCGAGCTTCGAATACATAGGGTATGCCTGTACCAGCTGTTTGTTTACCCTCTATAGGCTATAAGATGCCCTCAAAGTAACAAATGTCTTTCTTAATCCCTGTCTGACAGGTGCCCCCCCCGTCTTATATACCTTTTGGCCACCCCTAATGCGACATTCCCCTTGATCGGGCCCGATAATCGCCTCCGCTCTCCTTCGCTTACGCCACGCGCACTCCTCTCGGCCGCGCGCAGCCCTGCTGCACATTGAGCTGAACTCTATGTACTGTTTTCTGTCCGACCTGTCGTGCTAAGCCAAGATTACCAAAAGCTTTGCCATGTCATTGGACACCTGCAGAACCGCGGCCACGGAAACAGCAGTCGTGGAGCCACCTCTTGTAAGCGTTTAGAACCATTTACTATGTGTTTACACAAAAAGAAATTCACGTAAACTAAACGGTTGGAGCCTTGGTAGGCTATAGCCTTACATATGACACTCCGGTACATATAGCATCCATTTATCATCTACGTTATGCGATGTAGATCGGACGGAGTAAGAGGGTGCTCTGCTGAATCTTGATTGGCTGCTTGTACACCGGGACTGTCGGTTGATAATACCCGGGCGCCTGCCAGCTGAGCCTTTCTTCCACAACTTCCACGAACCACAAGTGGACAAACTCTAGTGAACCCAGTCCATACCTCTATGGCCATATCCGCTGGAACCAAGCGGGCGATATTCGACGGTACGTTCGTCTGGCCAGTGCAAGGCATGTACGGGAGTGTTTAAGCAAATTCTGTGCCTAGTGGTTCTCTTCGCTGCCTCACAAGTGCGTCGGACGTGCTATCATGTCAACTGTTTTCTAACTTGCTTGCAAGGCAGCCCTGTACTATACCATACGAGTAAGTGCTTCTAGCGTAGCGTGTCCGCAGAAGAGCACGCGTCTCATTCACGGTTCCGCAGTGGGTGGTGCAGTCCATGAACCCCGTGGAGAAGAAGGAGGTCAAAGAGAAAAGCTTGAAAGCACTAGAGAGGCTGGGTCACAAGAGTTTGGCTCTGGACGATTATGAGAGTGCGTTGTTGTCTTCTTGTAGTTTGGTTTGGGCTGACCGTTTCGGGCACCTCAGGGCAGATAGCCTCCGAAATTATACATCCAGACGATATTGACGTGCACTTCTCAGGTATCTGTCTTAAGAAGTTGGCTATGTTCTCTTTTGACTCATTCTGCCAGACATTGGTGGCTTGGACCCTATAATTTCCTCAATGCAAGAGTCTGTCATTTTCCCATTACGCTACCCCCACCTCTTTGCTTCGTCCTCGTTGCTGGGCGCACCAAAGGGCGTCCTATTATTCGGTCCGCCGGGGTGCGGCAAGACCATGCTCGCGAAGGCCCTTGCGAAGGAGTCT